AGAGAGAGAGAAAGAAAAGGAAAGGAGGAAAAGAAAGAGGACAGAGATGGGGAGAGGGAGGAAGGCTCTTCCACCACCACCACCCCCGCGGATCCCTCACTTACCGTGATCAAGGCCTTCCTCAGGCCGTAGCGCTCCAGTGCGGGCACCGGGAGGCTGGCAATGGGCCTCCTCAGGCCTCCTCTGGGCCTCAGTGCAGGCCCCGGGAGGCCGGAGACAGGCCTCTTTAGGCCTCCCCTGGGCCGCAGCACTTTGGCGGAGGGAGCTGGGACGGGGCTTGCCACCGCCACCATTTGTGCCAGCTCCTGGGCTGCTGGAGCAGCACTCCAACGCACTCCGGCCCCAAATGACCCGTTCATAAACAAACAAGCAATGTTCTCACAGAGAAACCTACCTGAAGAATTCAGCTGTTCTTGATCAGCATTAATCCTAGAACCATAAATAGATGGCAAAATGGTTTGTCTGTCAGCTTCTGGTATTTCATCCCCACTATCGAAATCAAACTGTTCTCCTTCCTCCTCTTCTTCATTGGTAGCACTGGCTGTTAATTCATTTTCTAAAACTGAACATAGTGTTTAATTAAAGAAACTATCTAATAGGGCTGCAATTAAATGGAGGAATAGTTCATTTTTACAGTAAAGATGATCTGATAATTTAACATATTATTTTATTTATATTTAAAAGTTTAGACGTTAGGACTTAGAGCTTGACTGAGGGAACTGCTAATTCTTTTGCAAGTATGTGATTGGCCCAAACAGTGAGAAATTGCCCAATCAGGGAGAAATGGCATGTCAGAATTTCCCCTTAAGAAGATATTATAAAGAACGGGTTTGTCAAGCTGTTAGTTGAGCTGTGGTTAAAGATATGGTTTCAAACTCTTTCCCTCAGCCCTGACTGAGTCAGTCTGGCCTGCAGCAGGAGAGAAAAGGCCTAGAACTTGGCTGAGGGAACTGCTAATTCCTTTGCAAACCAAAGCCAGAGAAATAAAGCATCCAGACCAAGAGCAGCAGGAACTACTGAAAAGCACAGCAATGAAGAAGCAATCCTACACTTATTTAAACAAACATTTTAGACTTGCTGTTTTCTCTGTGCTACTGCGCACCATTTGTCAGGATTTGCCTTTTGTTCAGAGTGCCCTTTCTGAAGGACACTGAAGGTACTATTTCTGCAGATTTTGCTATGTGCTATGCCATTATGATTCAGGGGGCATTTATTTCACAGAAACAAAAAAGTAATTGGCTATTGCACCAGCTTCTGCTAACCATGTGCCTTTTGTCAGTGCAGACAGCCTTCACGCTGTTCCTTTGCCTTATCTAAGGTTCCCAAGTCAAACTTACGAAATAGCAGGGGGAGTCCTGTTCCTCCCCGGGAGTCTTCTGGCGCACGGGCAAAATTCGTGCACCACGATGACAGCACCCAGAAGTGACGTCATCACGTCAGGCACATTGGAGGCGGGGCCACAATCATTTGAGGGAAAACCATAGAGTTTTCCCTCGAACGATAGAGCGTCCCCCGGTAACCTGCCCGACGTGATGACGTCACCTCTTGGTGGTGTCTTCACGCCGCGCATGTCACACACTTTGGGGGTGGGGTTTCCCCCGGTGGCCTGATCTGGGCCTCCAGGGAACGGGCCTCTCGAGTGGGGGTTTCCCCGCCCCTGGGGGGACCTGGCAACCCTAGCCTTATCACACTCACCCATCCTTTGATTAAAAAAAAAAAATTATTTCTTTTAAACTCCACTTCTACAGTTTATTTTGATCACAGATTTTTAATTTTATGGTACTAGAATAAATACAATGCTGCCAATTAATATACACGGAATAGTCAACAAAATGTTTAAAGGATTCTTAAACTATCACTTGCCAGGCTCTCAGACTGGATGGTTAACAGCAGAAAATCAGTTTCAACTTCATATTGTTACAGATATCCAAAAATTAACTAGCTACTGTTTTATTGCAAATGATGTTTAGTTCGGAATGACAACCTCTAGGTTAGTTCTATTCTAAATTACCACTGTAATCTTTCTCTAGTATTCTCTCAGTTTTGGCCTACAGTCAGTCTTGCAATATTTGTTGGCAGAGTTCAGGAATAATCCAATCCACACTTTGGAATTTGCTTTAAATGAATTTACTGCAACAGGATTTTGCAAAAAGACAATAAACTGACTGCTGGCCACCAACAGAACAGTGAGGCCTTCAAAGCACAAGCACTAATACATACTACTACATAGCAGAAAGAAAACAAGAGGTAGGCTGAATTACAACAGAAAAACAGTCAATAAACCCTAAACACTAGAGAATGCTCCATAGCTCCCCCTAGGATACAAGTAGACTAAAGTACTCTATCAGCAGTATTTACAGGCTACGGTCACACGGGCAGGAAAATGTGGGGGGGAAGTGTGGCTGTTTGCCCCGGACCAAAATAACGCGTGGCTGCGCGATCAGACGTCCCGTAGAGGTCCCGTGGTTAGGGGGGAGGTTCCGATCACAAGACAATCCTGCGGTGCAGCAAAGAAGCAGCCTCTCTAGCAAAAGGCTCCGTGGGTTTAACCCCTTCCAGGGCTGCAGAGGAATGCAAACTGTGCCCTCCGTCCGGTCCCGTAGAGGTCCCGTGGAGGAGGAGCTTCAGCCGGGCCGCCCTCCTGCCACACCCCCCCTGAACTTCCCCCTCTGCCGCCTGGTGCAGAGAGTCCCTCTCGAGCAGGCCAAGCCAGGAGTGGGGGGGTAGGGAAAAGAGGAGGGGGCTGTGTTTTTTGTTTTTAAACGAAGTGTGCGCATGTGCCGTTGAGTGCTTGTGCGCATCCCGTGGAGACTTGGGGGAAAAAAACCTTTTAGCGACAGGACATGGGCAGGCGCCGGATGCCATGACCTACCACCGGAAATGCGATCAGGCGCCCGCCCTTGCCCCGCAGTTTCCAGAAACTAGTACCTCGGAGGTACTAGTTTTTTACCCCGCATCTTCGGCAGGAAGCCTCGGGTTCACCACGGGAGCTCTATGCTTCCCAGATGTGGCGCTGTGATCACGCCCGGAAAATCCACCTATCTTCCGTCTCTGTAGCGTGGCTAATGCTCCGTGTGACCGCAGCCACAGTAATTCAACTCTTAGCGGGCTGTCGCTTCTCCAACAGTATTGATAATCCTTTAAGCTTGGTAGAAAGATTCTGCAGGTGGGAGGATTTTCACTCATGGTGTGTGGCCTTCTCACCTCTCCCTTTCCTCTACACCCCCCAAAGCTACATATGCTTAGTTAGATCCAAGCCATTATTAGTCAGTGTGCTTTTATTCACCTCCTAGATTTTCCTCTGAGGACAAGAAACTACAGGAGATGAGAGTGATAATGACAGTATGATATCCAGTGACCTGTGCAGCCAGCCCTAGAGCCTGCACATTGTCCAACTATGTCATTCCCATTTCCTTCTCCCTTGAGGGTCTTGCACAGCAGTGTTTTCCATCACCAACATAGTTATTTTGAGCAATCTGCCCCTGTTGTGTAAAATTCCTAACCATAATCCACTTTGCTCATGATACTAGATGTCGTGGCAACAAAGAAACTGTAGTGAAACGGGAAAGGAAATGAAAATAGTTGCAAGCTATGGTAACAGTGGCTTTTCCTAAGTCTTCCCACATTAACATACTACTAAATTCCTGAGCTAAAGCTCAAAATGTTGTTAGACGTTTTATGGATTTTGAGAACTCTAGATCCAAGTATATCTCTTCAGGAACATTTGTACTCTAGACTGTGCCTTATGAACTTGCTCTTCCATCGCAGCCAATATTTCTCCACTAAGAACATGCAGTGCTTGCACCTTTTAAGCACATAGTGATTTCTTCAGAGTAATAACATCTGTTAAAATGCTGCCACTTTGAATTACTTAAACCTTAGGTAAACCTAATTTACCTAATTTAATCACACTTTAATATACACTGAAAGAAATAAATCATTTGTTGGGGGGGGGACACATACACAAAGATGGCATACGTTTTTGTACTGATATACCCCAGGCTTTCCCAGTAAGCACTTAATGATTTGATCTATGGAATACATTGTAAAGAGGCCTGTGGCCCTAGTTTCACTTGTCCTCTACAAACTAAGCTACAGAAACTGAATAACATTACTATTATAATATAAAGCTAAATATACCTCGAGGTCTGATCTATTCTGGTAAACTTTTCCACAAAATTCCCTGTGCTCCCCCCAACAGTGTAGAAAAAAACAAACATGGCATGCCCATCTGCATTCCTTTCTCCCTGTCTCACTGCCTTGCCTGTCCTGCTAGGAACAGCGACTGAAGTGTATTAGGGAAGAGGATTAATTGTTTACATTGCCACTAGGCCCAAGTTTATACTTTCACAGCCGCAATGGGATGTAACAGCTAGACACTAACAGTCTAGTAGAGAGCTTAAGCAGGGTTGCAAACTCTAGGCTGGGAAATACCTGAAGATTTTGGGGTGGAACCTGGAGGGAAGGGTTTAGGGAGGGAAGGAACCTCAGCAGGATATAATCCCATAGAATCTCTCCCTTATAATAAAGCAGTACCGGGGACCAACGTTCTAAAATGCCCGCCTTTAGTGTTTGACCGGAAAACCTGCCACTCAGAAGACACTGGCTGGGTTGACTGGCTGCTTTGTGCAGTCCCGCCCAGCGTTTCAAGGTCTTTTGGACTTCACTCCATTACACACCTCAAACTCCCCCCCCCACGCAAGGCAGTTGGAATTTTCAGTTGCATATGGGAACTACTGTATTCTGAGGTAACATATGTCCTCACTCACAACACATCACTTCCCCTTTAAAAGAAACAAAACCCAATAACACAATCACGCCACACCACAAAGAAGACAGATCACACCACAAGCAGAATACCTCAAGGCAAAAAAGGATAGGAAAAGGTGCCAGCAGTCACCCCATTACTGCCACAGATGGTGTGCAGGTCCCAGGTTCATGTTTTAAAAGCTGCCTGGGGGACTATGGACCATTCACACACTTTCAACCATAACATACCTCATAGGGTAGTTGTGCGGATCATACGGGGGAGAGGAGAATGATGTCAGCTGCTTTGGTTCCCACTGCAGGGAAAGACTGCCCTTTCCCTAGGCAGAGGCGGGGGGGGGGGGGATGTAAAACTTAAGACAGACAGGCAGATAAAGGTTGGCTGATGGTTGCCAGGAAAGGACATAGGGTTGAAGCCTGCTGAGGGTGGGGTCTGAGGAGGAGGAGGAAGAGGGGGACCTCAGACAGATACAATGCCATACTGCCCACACTCCAGACAAGCTGTTGCCAGTCTCCAGGTGACAGCTGGAGAGCTCTTAAAGCTTTGGTGCTAATTCAAAGTGTTGCAATTTATCAACAGAGTAGTGTTTTGGAAAATCTTTAGGAATTGTTTGGTGCATTTACGATGGGGCTCCTGGGGAACTATTGTTGCCAATCTTGGCCCAGCAGCCATCAAACCATTCTCTTCAACCCCCTGCTGTGCAGCTGACTTCCCCCTAGGGTTGCCAATCTCCAGGTGGGACCTGGAGATCTCCCACTGTTACAATTGATCTCCAGATGACAGAGATCAGTTCC